ATATACGCACACCACTGGTAAAACCCCATTCTCATCAAAAGGAGTGGAAGTCAAAGATGGTCACAGACTCACGCCGGTCTAGGTTCTCGAGACTAGCGGAAGTTCGTTAGTAACCTTGGAGACCCCCAAGTCTCAAAATGGTATCGTCGTCTATCATCGTACGTTCCGAAGGTCTTTCCTTTAATAGCAGTCATGAATTTGGCGGCATTTTGGATGCCCTACTGCCTTACGCTTGGCAGCGGCCTCATTGCACACTAGAATTTTGCTGCAAGTTTCCACCACCATCTCAGAAACCATAAATCCCACCCTTCAGTTGCACAGCAGTTACCTGAGGTCGTTTCAATGATATAGAAGCTTAAACTCCATTTTGGCGCTCAATATGTTAGAAAAGAAGGTCTAGTAAGCTGGTGTACACACCTCCATTAGCTTCACTCAGGATTGACACCGAAAGGGGGACAGAACAAAGCAGGAGAAGAACATTTGTTGTGAAAAGTTTTACTCTACTCAGCCGCACTAGTAATATTGCACTAATATCGATACAGCCGAACCTCTCATGGGGCGTTCCTCCATAAAGGCATATTCTCTTGTACGGCACACTACATTTCCGGTAAGACCAACTTCATTTGTGGATAGGCTTACCTCTCTGATAGAGCACAGGGCATTTAGGGAGAGGCACACTTTTCTGGATGGATCTACCCCATATCTTTGAGCAAAAGGCGTGCTTTTTTCCCGGGATGATAAATACTATTGCTTGTCAACTTGCGAACCTAAAGGGTTGTGGGTGACGCCCAGTGGTTTTTGTTGCTTTGGCCAGAAATTTTAATTGCATACCAGGACGAAATGGCCACAAAGCTGAACCATTCTGCAGCTCTGGGAAATCACAGTGGGCTTGCGCAGCTCAAGTTTATTGCGGCGATTCGCTGAAGGTGCCAACCATCGTGGAACCCTTCAGACTTGAATCATGCAAAGATATGGTATTAATTAAAGGGATGGATGAGCGGCTGGCATTGTGGATATTTTCGCCATGATCGGAGGTACATAGAGCCATTCTATGATAAGTTCATCAATCATTGGTAGCATTTAGTATCACCTAAACATACACATTACTTACATAGCATGTTTATATCCACTTGAAAACCATCCAAATAAAGCATCCCAGCCTGAAAAAAAATAACTTCAAACTCTCCAGAGGCTAGATCGTTGTCTGATAAATGTGGCAAGTCGCTAACGTATTCAAGTTATTAATCCTTGTGACTTGGCTGTAATGCGGGTTGAAGCTGCTCTTCGGCACTGTACTTACAGCTGTTCCATTCTAGCGCTTTACAGTGAAAGCAGCCGATTGGGAGCCGGCTGGAGATCGATCAGCTAATCTATGAACCGGTAAACAAACAAAGTAGCGTCTTATGCAAGCCGACCATGGTGCATGTTCAAGAAGAGTGAGTGATAAAAGGGGGGGATGAACTCAATGCGAGTGCGCCAAACATTGAGTCTCTCGCAGCTCCACTGTACCAACCTCATCGACTGGTCCGAGCTTGTAAGACTCGCAGCGGACCCTCCCCCAATCATTGACCTTCAGCGTGTTCATTGTCTGTGCCCTAAACTGTGAATGAACGGGTTAGCAGAAATGACCTCCGTAGTACCATGTTAACGCCGGGCCAGATTAATATGTCATTGAACATCAAGACCTTCCAAAAACCGATTTTATCCTCGTAAATGATGAATGGTCTATCCAAAAATTGGGTGTAGGGAACAGAACGGTACGCGACAAATGATGGACTCACAAGTTGTTTTCGAATCCACTCCATTGAGACTTTGTCCCATACACAGTTTATCTTTGACATCCAGAGTCCATGGTGGTGACAATTGGGATCCGTGTGGGCATTCTATGGCGGGTGCTGTGCGGGTGTTAGACAGATTTTCTGCGTCTCGGGAAGGCTTACTGGAATCTTGGGGGCTGAAGATTATAGCGAGGCATTGAGACAAAGGTCATTATCTGGTACCTCTATGTCTTCAATCCCAAGTGGAAACAAAATTCACTGGAATTGGAGCAAATCTTTCCGGAAAATGTTTTGAATGAAGATAGCACGAATTCTGTTACAAAGTTGCGTTCAAGTTCTGTGAGTTAGCCGGCCCGACACGACGCGACACTCTCCGCAACGTCCATGTCAGCGCGTCGGTCAGGACTACAGAGAGATGTTCTAAATCTCTACAGGCGGTCAGGACTCCTTTTATGCGCAGAATCCATTGTTGATACCCTTTTAGAGCTTTGCGTATGGTCAAAACGAAACCACCGTCCACACAGGACAAGTTTTCCCTTTACATTCGATATACTTTTCGTCTCAACGCTTCTAGCGTTTCTCCGAGGGATGTCAGCGCTATAGAGCATCTTTTGAGGAAAGGAAAGCGTCAGTTGGAGATGTATGAACAACCTTCAGTTAAAGATTGCTGGGTATCTGAAGATATGCGCAACTGGCAGAGAAATAGTCATAATTAATGTAAGACAAGAGTTATCTACGGCGTTGTTGTCTACCACGACTTCCGAATAATCCCTCTGTCACTGCTTCAGTTGCTTCAGCTCTATCTGACTTTATGGAAGAACGTGGTTTTGGTGGAGCATGCTCGAGTTTTGCGACAGGCGGTTGTGCTTCCGCTGTGGCAGAAGCCTTCGGTTCACCAAGTTCGGCTTGGGCTTCTAACTGAACGACCTGTTCAGGTTGAGCTTCCGATTCGACAGTCGTAGTTTGAACTGTGTCCCTCGCGGCCAACCGGGCTCTTTGCGCTGCCTTTCGCTGTGCCCTTAGTCTCCGCACAGATATATTTTTGCTATCGTCTTCGTGCTCCGTGAGTTGTTGCTTCAGCACAACCTTCGCGATGTGATCTGTCTTTTCTTCTTCAGCAAGCTTGATGGCACCCTGGTACGCGAGCCTTCGCTCGTTCATCACGTATTTTATACGGGCCATGGATTTGCGACACTATTTGTGCAAATTGAGTAACCGAGCCCCGACGACCAGGCAAGAAATATTCACCATTCGCATTCGGTCATCAAGAAGTCGAGTCACAGCCATGGCACCCATTCTTCGTAGATCTTCGTTCTGTGTCGCAAGCAAATTTCGTTCTCGCAGAAGAACATACCACAAAACGTGGAGATCTTTGAAGCTTTTGAGCCGTATTTCAGAAGCCCTCCAAGCCCTCCCTAAGCAAAATTTAGGATAGCAGCAGAAAAATAAGACAGTAAGGCTCACCAGAACGCTCCATTTCCATGCCATAGCTTCCACCCACTGTTTCATACCGTGCCTCGCCTACCAATGTCTGTCCCTCTTCAGGCTCCCTCTGCCGGAAGAATCCATATAGCCCATGGTCTTCACGAACAGGTACACGATTACCTAGTCGTACTGGGACTACTGTGTTTTCGGTATCTGGGATATTTTGGCCTTTATCGGGTCCACCAATAGCGCGTGGCGGGGGAGGGTCAATAGTTCCTCTGAGCGGAGGAGGCGCTGAGGGCTGAGGAGTATTTACGTGGACCAGCTCAGCAAAATTACGCAGCAAACGCGGTTGTGCGACGTAGGAGCGTCGTAGGACGGAAAGCATACGAAAAGTACGAAGGCAAGTAAAATTGTGCGTTACGCCGGCAGGCAATGCCAGCGCTTAACTGCTTCTTCGTTTGCTTCCATGACCGTCCTTCCAGTGGAGATTATCTTTGTCATTATTGCAGATGTGTATTATAAAGACCCTATGCGTCATGACCAACCTAGGATCGTTCGTTCAAGACAACCAGACTACAAGACTCTCTCAGCTTGCTCGTTGGTTCATTCATCATGGCGAGCACCCTGCCAGAGTCTGCTCTTTAACCATATCACAGAAACAGCTGCTCCTCGTTTAGCAGAACACATTCTGATGCATCCTAATCTCCTTTCAGGCTGGGATGCACTTTTAGAGCATACCAGGATTTTGGAGATTTCGTTGCACAATACTCACACATCAGCTTATCACTTTAGGGAACTGACACAACGATGTACCAACCTTTATGAACTTGAAATTCGTGTTTCTGGAATCATATCAATGGCTCCCATTTTAGCTCCAATGAAAACCCCTCCTTCTTCCCGTCTCCGAGCACTACGGGTTATGGAATGCAGTTCCCAATCCCCCATCCTCTACGAGCTCTTGGTATTCTTTCCCACAATTGAATTTCTCGCAACTGGGATAGAGATCGTCGCACCTCCGCCAAAAGTACCCGCCAAATTTAAACTATACGAGTTGACGATGTTTCGCACCCTCACACCCGAAATATTCTCGTGGCTCTTGGCGAACTCCCTCGATACTCTCCGAATTGTCGAACTGCGCGATTTACCTAGCGCAGAAGTAACAGCTGTACTGGTAGGGTGTGGTCATCAGTTACAGTCCTTCCGGGCTATGAAGTACCACACCAACACCGCAAAAATCGTGCAATCGTGTACGAATCTTCAGGAATTGGTCATCCTGGGCATTCCATCGATTCCGCCATTCACTATTCAGAGGCTCCCTTTGACATTAGAACATCTCAGTTTGGTGCATAGTCACTCTGATCCAAGTGTGGGGATAGCGGATATGATGATGTTGGTGAAGAATTCGTCAAAGTTGAAGCTTTTGAGCTGTGACGGCAGGTTCAAGAGGGATCCGCTTTACGGGGTGTTTCATGACATTTGCATGAAGAAAGGAATTGAGGTGGAAAGTAGTGAATATGGTCTTTGGCCGGTACGGGGATTTCTTTTTGAGTCGTTTTTTCACTGATGGGGTTTTTCTGTCAGAATGAAGAGCCTGTCAAGGCTTTTAATTTTCCTCGAGGAAGAACCATGTTGAACTTGCGCGCCATGAATTGAGAGCAGTACTTGCGTGGGGAGGAAATGTACTTCTATCGTCCTAACATCTTCTAGAATAGTCATTGACTGTCATTAACATTGTCCATGGTCAAATCTGGGTTTCCTGTTCGATTAGTATCATAAAACTCCGTCGATACTAATGGGGGTATAGCTCAGCTGGGAGAGCAGCAGACTGAAGTCACGTGGGTTCTGAAGGTCCCGCGTTCGATCCGCGGTACCCCCAATGACCAGAGGATGTTTTTTTTTTTTGTTCCACACTTTCCAGCATCTCTCATTTCATTGGCTTCCACTATTTGCCATTTGTATGGAGGGCTTACATAATTAGAGTCAGTCCTCTTGATATCATTTGGAGTCAGCTAGTAGCCTGTAGAATGGGAATCTACTTTATCATTTTATATTGACAACACACTCATACCAGAGCTAATAGACCAAGCTGCTAGCCTGCACTAGACGTCATGACTCATATTCAACCTTAACATGTGTCAAAGAATCACAAACGTCTTTCATGTCCATTCCCATCCCGTTCCCTTCCATTGCTTCAGTGTCTGTCTGCATCTGCGAAGCCTTCTTCATTTCAAGCGGTAACACGCTCATTTGCGTCTTCAATGTTGCTTGAACATCCTCATACGGCATTTCTCCTTTTAATTTCTCATAAAACTCGGGACTCAACCCTGCCTTCTCTCTGTCCTCGACATTAAATGGACCCTTGATATCACCACGCCAACATTGTCGCACCTCCTCTCGGAATGCCTCGATAGGGTCCACCACTTGCTCCCCACCATTTTTCTTCATCTGCTGTTCGCACATCCAAACAAACCATCGATGTCCAGCGGTTACATGGGTCACTTCATCCGCGTGTATTATTTCCAGCACATCTACACTTTCTTTATCGCCTGCTTTTCGGAATTTCTCGATTGTTTTGGGATTGACGTCAAGGCCTCGGGCTTCGTGTACCAGGTGGATGATAGCTAGACGGGAAAGAAGTGAGCGGGAGGTGAGGGATGCAGATTCCCAAAGGGAGGCGTGGACTGGAAGGGAACCGTATGGTGTCGAGAAGGAGCTGAGGCGCGCACGGAGGAGGGAGCTATGCAGAATATGAACTTGAGGGCAATGGACAGGAAGGGAGAGAAGAAGCTTACAAATGTTTTGACTCGTCTAGTGCCATTTTCGTAAAGTCGGAAAAAAAAGCTGGGGGAAGGTCTTTATGCATCGGTCCGAAACGAGCCATGATATCCCACCTACATTCCAATTAACTAAGGTACTGTGAATGAGCAAATAGAAACTTACGCAAGGTCAACCCTATCGGATGGAAACATGAAACGGTTACAACAGATAAAAAGAGCTAAAACTTACGCCCATTGTTCTATATTGGCTAGCGCATGAAGCATTACCGCCCGATTTTTTCTCTTTCCACTCTGAATTTTGCCGGGCTCGACGATATTCATATAGGTCTCCCTCGGCGGTTGAGGCGGTGGAACAGGAGGGTGAGCGACTTTGTTGCCAACAGTGGTAATGGTACCAGTACGGAAGGCATGTACAGCATAGCGTGTACGTTCGACCTTTAGTGTTGGATTAGCTGTATTTAAGATCAAAACAGCCCATTCCATCAGTGTCTTCGGTGGGTTTTCTGTTGGAACGATGGGTTCAGCGGTTGCTTGAGCATAGGGTGCCACCGTCCCATCTATTAAAGAAGACGCGGGATCTGATGGCAGTGGTGGTGGGTCGGCAAATTCTACAATGGGACAGTGAATATTGACGGAAGATAACTCGTAGCTGTCGGACCTTCTGAAACTGGCCGTAACTCGACGACACGCCAACTTGTCCCTCCCAGAGGTGCCTCCATCCAGATTTGTTCCTCGGATGTTATAGGATCGAGTTTTATTTGAACAGCATACGTACATGTTTTAAGTCCGGTTTCGCTTTTGCCTGTTTTGAGGTCAAAGTCGTATCTTGGGAAAAAGTCAGGTTTGGAGGAGTTCGAAGGAAAGAGAGATGGTGATACCTATGCCATGGACATACCGCAACCACCGAAGAATCGTCGTACTCTTCGATGTCTGCATGTGACATTTCCGCTCCTAGATGAGGACATGTTGCCTCCATGACATATATTTGATGTTTATTCCCGCTCAGATTCCTATCTTCATTTTCGTCTTTGAGATCAGAAGTTGAAGATGTAGACGGCGATAGTCGAAAGATGATGAGACTAGGTATCCATCAGAAGATGAAGTGCAGACACGTAGATAATAACCTATGATATGTGCCTTCAGGCTCGGACCTGAGCGTGAGCAGAAAACGAAAATGCGAAAGAATCGATTGTAAAGGGGATATGCTGGATTTGTTGAATACTAGAGTTCCCTGTAAATTAAAAAGTTGCTCACTGTATTTGGTTCATGGCTGTAGAAGAGATCAAGCCCGGTCCGGTCCGCTGACTCCGAAGTACTCTGAGTCAGTCACTCGTATCCCGTGATGTTACTTTGTCGCAGCCGTCGACGCAACCTTGTGATTTGATTTCCTCCCACTCGCCTCCCATGGCTTCGCTAAACAAATTAGCTATCCGTGGAATTCGTTCTTTTGATGATAAACAAGTATCTATCATTGAATTTTTCTCTCCCGTCACTGTCATCGTCGGCCACAATGGCAGTGGAAAGACGACTATTATTGAATGTCTCAAGTACGCGACCACCGGCGACCAGCCCCCAATACTCGTGGCGGAGCATTTGTTCACGACCCAAAGATGGCTAATGAAAAGGAGGTGAAGGCACAGGTGAAACTCCGGTTCTTTGCTGCGAACGGACAGAGGATGCTTGCTGTGAGGAATTTGAGTGTGACGCAAAGAAGGCAGGAGGCTTGACGATGAAGACATTGGAAAGTATCCTGTCTGTTGATGATGGCAGTGAGAAAAATGGCAAGGTAAGTGGACTTCTATCTTCGCAGATACCTTATCTAAGAATACGTGTAGAGAGGTACAATTTCTACAAAATGCGCGGAGATGGATACAGAGATCCCTGCGCTTCTCGGTGTCTCGAAAGCAGTGCTCGAAAATGTCATCTTTTGCCACCAAGAAGATTCATATTGGCCGCTTGCCGAGCCATCTGCACTTAAGAAAAAGTTCGATGATATTTTCGAGGCGACGAGGCTAGTTTGTCTTTGATTTTCGAGTAAAATGGTGATTCAAACGTTATGGACAGATACACAAAAGCCCTTGACAACATCAAAACTCTCCGTAAAGAACGAATTGCCGACTTGAAAGCGGAAAAGGAACGTCTCCAGAGTCTTCAGACAGAGAAAGCCCACGCCGATAAACTTCGCGCTCGAATCACCGAGCTCAAAAGTACCATTCACGCCAAAGAAATCCAGTACGAGGAAACAAAGAACCAATACGAAGAGCAGGTTACATCCAACAACAAGTATTACGAATATGCGTCGCGGTTCCGGGAGATCTATGTCAAAATTGAAACTTTGCAGGAAAAGCAAAAGAATTTAAAGGACGATTTAGAAGAGAGTCGAGTGAGCGTACCGGAAATAGGGGTATGTGCTTGTTTCGACGCGGGTTGAGGAACACATTTTCTTCAGAATCTAAGCTGTTTTCAGGTACCGATGAGGAGCTGCAACAACGTCTGGAACGGTTTGACGAAAACATTTCAAAGCAGAGAAATACATTAAAGGACGCGAAAAGAAAGAAAGAAGATATCGAGGATGGCTTGAAATCTAGTAGGATCGAAAACCAAAGTATACTTCAAGAATCGGCAAGATTTCAATCAGAAAGCAAGGTATGATTCATTTTCTTCAATCAACCATATCTGATTCTCAACCATCTAGCAACAACAACAACGACTCCAGGAGCGTGAACAGCTCATTAGGGAAATCGGAGACAAGTTTGGAATCGGTGGTTTTGGTCAGGAACCTCTCGATGGGCCCAAAGTTCTTGATTTTATGTCGAGGATGGACGAGTTGAAGCGGAAGCAGAACAGCGAACTCGAGGCACTACAGGCATGCTGTTACACCTCAATCGCTGAGCATTACTGACTACACCTTTCTAGGCAGAGATCAAGTCCCACCAGGAGGAGTATAACGCAAAGTCACGCCAGCTCACCGCAGCCTCCGAGAAACACAAAGCTGATCGCTCTTCTCTTCGACAACAAATTGTGGGCCTGTCCATTCGTGTTCATCCTTCACCTTCACATTCTGTCCCTTCTGTTATAGACCGAACGTAACTCAGCCATCACCAAAGGCGAACGAGAGCTTGAAATCAGCCAAGAACTTCCTGGTCAATTGAAAATTATAACTGGCAACGTTGAAGAGAAGACTCGTCGATTGGAAAAGTTGAAGGCGGATTTCAAGACTGCTAGTTATGACCAGAAAATCTCGCAAAACACAGAAAAGAAGACAATCGCGGAGAGTAAACGAGAGAAACTCAACCAAGAATTCATCATGCTGAACAGAGAAGCTGAATCTCGTGCAAACCTCAACTTGAAGCGTAAGGAGGTGGTAGCCAAGAAGAATGAGATTGAGTCTACGTTCGTTTTTGTTTTCCTTGGACTTCTATCGAGCTAGGAATTTATACAAACATTTTTAGTGTTGACAATGCTAATACGAGATTTGGAAAACTCGTAGGCAAGGCTGCTTCCGCTGATACTATCGAAAACGCTATTGAGGAAGTCGCCAAGTATATCACATTTCTTCGTTCATCTCAAGCTTTGCTGACATGTTCGCGTAGGCAGAAGAACCACGAGTTAGAATTAGCAGAGACTGATGCCCGCATTGCCAGTGGTAACCAGCAAGGGGCAGAGGCGGCATTATCAGAGAAGAAGAGACTCCTCAGAGAGAAGCAGAAAGATTTGAAAGGTGTGTTCCTTCTCTATCTTCTAGATATTATGACTTACTACTCCCCAGATGCTAAACGTCGCATGAATGGAGCTTATGAACATAACACCTTGGAGGAGGCCATAAAGGATGCTATGGATCAGTTGCAGTATGCCCGAGAGTCAGTGACATGTCCGATTTTTTGTACCATCCCTCTTATCTTCGATGATATAGCGAGAGAACTACAGGCGCGGAAGCAGGCAAGGTATACGAGCGACTTCTTATGACCGGAAAGCAGAAGAAAAAGTGCACCGCTTGTGATAGACATATGAACGACGATGAAATTCGTGTTTTCGAGAAATACGTGAGTTGTTCTCCCTGGCTTCTCTTTTTTCCTAATTCTAATAGGATGTCCCTCAT